GATATTGGATGCCTCTCTCCGCGGTCACGTTGGCGGCCAGCTCATCAAGCGTCTGGCCCTCCTCCAAGATGGCGACGGAACGGGCAACGATCTCCACCTTGTTGGCGTGCGAGACGGTGACGCCACTTCCCGCGCCATCACCCTCGATTTCGGAGGCGTCAAGGAGAGGGTCCCCGCGGATCGTGTCGGTGCGGTCGAGCAGCTGCAGCAGCTTGAGCTCGGAGATGGTGGCGCCGTCGCCGATGGCGCACGTCGCCGATGCCGCCGCGCTCTCGCACAGGTCGATGATTTTGGTCTGATTGAGATCGGTCCCGGAAATGGTGTCGACGAGGTGGAACTGCGCGTCGAGGGAGATGCTGTCGGCGTAGTCGTACAGAGTAGACGCCGGGTCGCCAGTCATCTGGCTGGCGTCGAGCAGGACGCGCTGGTGGCGGCGTCCTGCTCCACCGTCTGGGGTTGAAGCGTCCGTAGCCACAGAGACACCTAGCGGCGACGCAGGAGGCGGCGGGGCCGGCGGCGGCGGCGAGGGCGGCGGAGGCGAAGGAGGCGGCGAGGGTGGCGGCGGGGAGGGCGGCGGCGGCGAAAGAGGCGGCGGCGAGGGCGAGGCGGAGGGAGGCGGCGGCGAGGGCGACGCGGAGGGAGGCGGCGGCGACGGCGAGGCCGAGGGGGGCGGCGGAGAGGGAGAGGCGGACGGCGGCGGTGGCGACGGCGAGGCGGAGGGAGGCGGCGGCGACGGCGAGGTGAAGGGCGGTGGTGGCGACGGCGAGGCCGATGGGAACGGTGTCGCTTGGCAGACATAGCCGATGGGCGCGTTGCCGTCGTTGCTGTCGATCCCTCCGCAGGTAAAGTCGTTCCATTTGCCGTCGGTGTAGTAGACGTGGAAGCCGGCGCAGTCCTCATTTGTACTGCCATAGCTGTTGGGCTCGCCCGAGCCCCAGTTGGTGTAGTCGACGGGGCTGCCGTCGACCCACGCAAACGTGCCCTCTTCTTCGCGGTCGCTTAGCCCGATGTATGCGCGCGTGCCGGAGGGGACGACAGCGAAAGCGGCGTCCTGGTCGGCTTGCGAGGTAATCGTCGCGAGCTGGCCGCCGAGCTCTTTGCATGCCTCAATCGCACCATCGAACGACTTTGGGCCCGGGTGGTAGGAGAAGACGGGCAGCGGAGGCGACGGGGGCGGCGACAGTGGGGGCGGGGCGGAGTAGGGCGGGGACGGCTGCAGCGACTCGCACGAGTCCCTCATGAAGTCGCTGCATCCTGCCCATTGGCACTCCTTCGCAAGCGCGGTTTCACCGCACAAGTCCGTCGCCCACTCGGTGCAGAGGTCGCAGAGCTCGAGCCCAGTCGGGTCCTCCGGGCAAGGTGGGCCGGTTGGGCAGTGCGCCTGCGCCCACTCGCCCCATCGAGGGCACACCGCGAACACCGCCGTCCAATCGGCCTGCGTTGCCGACTGACCGCACGTGGCCGGTGGCGAAGCGGGGGCTTTGCCCGGCGGTGATGGGGGTAGCGGCGGCAGCGACGGCGGCTGGTCAAAGTCGAAGCAGCAGGTGTACTGCGAGTCGCGGATCGCGATCGGCAAGTAGCCGTCCCGGCACGTCTGTGCCTCACCGTCTGGCCTGCCGTCCGCGTGGCAGTCGTCGCCGTCGCGGCTCGAGCACTTGGACGCGTCGCAGCGGCAGTGAGGCGGGTAGCACGTGTAGCGCCACTCGCTGCGAGGCTCGTCCGGGTGAGGGCTGGCGGTGTAGCCGTCGCTGCAGGTCTGCGCCTCGTAGTCCGGGTTCACGTAGCAGTCGTTGCCGCTGCTCGAGCACTTGCTGTCGTCGTGGACGCAGGGAGACGGCGGGGGCGGAGCAGGTGCCTGGCCTGGCTGGAACGGCGGGTGCGGCGGTGGCGGCGGCGCGAGCGGAAACAGGCGCAGCGAGCGCACTCTGTCGCAGCCCGGCGTTGGCCGAGGCTCGCACTCGTACCCGCACACGAGCACGCTGGAGTCGTACGTGAATGTCTCTCCTCCGCCGCCGGTCTCGGTCGCCACCTCCACACCGCAGCCTGGAGAGACACGGATGAAGTCGAGCTCAGTGCAAGTATCAATCCACGTCGATGCGTCCGTCGAGACCCACTCGCTGCCGCAGTAGCCGCCGTCGTCCCCGCAGCAGTCGCCGCCCGAGCTTGAGCCCCATGGCGAGCATTCAGAAGCCGGGTCGCAGTTGCACCCGACCGACTCGTAGCCGCGAGCAACACACTCAGGAGGGGGGGGCGGAGCGGGCGCCTGGCCTGGCTGGAACGGCGGCAGCGGCGGCAGCGACGGCGGCGACGGCGGCGACGGGGCCGGGGACAGTGGTGGCGGTGACGAGGGTGGTCGCGGGGCCGTGCTGCTGCACAGGCAATGGTAGGAGCCGCTGCACGGCACGTCATGCCACGAGTTGTATGGCCCTCCCCAATTGCCGAAGGCCACGCAGTGCTCGCTGTTCGACTCGGGCTGGCCACCTCCCCAACTGGTGTATGTGGAGGCGCACCCCGTCGGCCAAGCCCAGCCACTGGAGCCTTGCTGAGAGGACGGCTGCCGGAGCCCAATGTATGCACCGCTGCCGCCGGCCGCGGCCCACGCAAGCGCCATCTCCGAAGCGGACGTGATACATGCGAGGCTCATGCCCGCAGATGCGCACCGGGTCGCGCAGCCATCGTATGAGCGCGCCGTTCCATCGATTGTGGTGAAGCTTGGGGCCGAGTGTGGCGGCAGCAGCGGCGGGAGCGAGGGCGGCGGCGGCGATGGTGCCGCAGCGGTTGCGCTGAAGACCCGAATGCGGCGCACGCTGTCACACCCCACGGTGTTGGCACAGACGCGCGTGTCCTGATGGAACGTGAAGCGCTGCCCGTCCGAGCGTTCCAGCTCATACGAGCATCCGGGCGTCACTCGAATGATGTCGAGGTGGTGGCACGTCTCCACCCACTGCGTGCCGTCGGCACTGCCCGCCCACGGCCCACAGTAGCCGCAGCACGATGGCCGCGTGTCCAGCTCCGCCCAACACGCGTGCTCCAGGTTGCTCGCCATGCCTGAGATGCCGCCATAGCAGCTGAGCTCATTTTCCGCCCCGTAGCCCCACGCCTCACATGACGATGGTGTCGATGGTGGCGGAGCGGGCGCCTGGCCTGGCTGGAACGGCGGCGGCGGCGGCGGCGACGGCGACGCGGAGGGAGGCGGCGGCGACGGCGACGCGGAGGGAGGCGGCGGCGAGGGCGACGTGGAGGGAGGCGGCGACGGCGGAAGCGACGATGGCGGCACCGCCCCGCTAAGCGCGCAGACAAACGACTTCACCTCTGATGCGTATGCACAATTGATGCATGGACACCCGCCAGCATGGCAAGTGTCGTACAAGCTCGATCCGCCAGAGCCGCTATCCAAGATCCAGATCTCTGCCGACGTCCAAGTGCTGTACATCGCCTGCAACTCCGCAGTCGCTGACGCAAGCGTGCCGCCGAGCGTCGCGCAGTACGCCATCGCGCCCGCGTAGCCTTGCTGCGGCGATCCGACGTATTGCAGTGACGACGGCGACGAGTCGCAATCGCTGTTGAAGCGGTAGAGCTGCCCCGAGCCGCCCGCGTTGCTATTCTCCGAGCCTGTCGTACACGCGTCCGTTGGGCAGTTGCAGTAGCCGTCCGTCTCGAAGAAGAAGTACTCGCCCACGCAGCCATCCTGCCCGTTGAGAGCCTGCACGGCCGCGGCGCACTCCTCGAGGGTCGTGGATCCTCCCTGAACGCCGTAGGTGCTGGCGTCATCCATGTGGATGTAGTTCGAGCAGCCTTCGCCGGACACCGCGGTGTACCCTCTCGCGCAGGAGCTCGGCGATGGCGGCGGTGCCAGACTCTCTGGCGGCGAGCAGCACGTGTTGCCGCCGTAGCCTTCGCAGCCCGACATCTGACCATTGAGCCACGTCACACCAGGCGTGCCCGGCATCACGCGCGAGAGCGTGTAGCCGTTCATGCAGTAGATGTCCGAATCGAGCGCGCAGCAGTCGTCGTCCTGCGACGTCGGACTGTATTCTGCACACTGCGACGTGTCGCACACAGTCGACGACGGCGGCGACGGCGAAATCGAACCCGACGGCTGCTGGCAAATGGCGTGTGTCTGCCCGTCGCCGCCCTCGCCCACATCGTGCCATTCGGCCGTCCCAACCCTGTTGATGAAGATGCGATTCTCGCCGCAGTGGCACGACCCCTCGCCGCCATCCCAGTTCGTGTACGTCAGCGCGTTGCCGTCGCCGTCCACCCATCCATCCCCGGCCGCATTCTCGCGCGCGTCGAGCCAGCAAGCGTAGTACGACTGGCACGCAGCGTACACGGCCTCATTCTCCGACTCGGTGCGCGGCATGGCGAGAGTGAGCCCTTGCGCGGCGCACCAGGCCACCGCCTCGGAAAAGGTGAGCGCGTCCGGCGAGACCGCCGACAGGCCAAAAGGCAGCGGCGGCGAGGGCGGCGGCGGATCGCAGCAGCACACCTCTGGGCGGTGGCACTCTGGCTCGGTGTACGAGGCGCACGTGCCGCACGTCGCTGGGCAGAGCTGCGCGTAGGAGACGCGGTAGCCGTTGTAGTCCTCGTCGATGGTCTCGCACGTCGCTCCAACCTGCGCCATCTTCTCCGCGCAGGTGGTGCCGCCAGGGCTTAGGTACGCGTCGGCAGCGAGGATGCCCTTGGGGTCGTCGACACAAGTCGGCGACGGCGGCGGCGCCGGCATGCACGTGTAGTTGGGACAGTCGTCGTAGCTCTGCGGCTGGACAGTCGGCACATAGCCCGCCTCGCACACGGCAGCCTCGCCCATCGCCTCGTTCGCGCAGCAGTCGTTCGAATTGTCGCGGCACATTGACGGCTCGCCGCCGCACGTCGGATCGCAGCCGCCGCTAAAGTCGCAGCACTGCTCGCCGTAATGGTTGCAATCGCAGTCGCCGCACGAGGGCACACCGCAGTCGCCGCAGTTGCAGTAGCCGCCGCCGATCCCCTCCGCCTCGCAGTACGAGCGCGTCGGGCACACGTCCGCGCAGCACTCGGCGGGCGACGGCGGCGGCGGCGAAGGATCTGGTGTGCAGCACGTGTTGCCAATCTTCTGGCCTCCACTTGCGCACTGCGGATAGAAGCCCGCATCGGCGGGCCGCGCCCACGTGCCGCCCTCGTCGATCGCGATCTGCAGGGAGAGGATGTAGCCGCTCGCGCAGCCGACCACGTCAGAGTTGCCACAGCAGTCGCTGTCGACACTGCCGTATTCGAGGCACACGCCCTCACTCGGCACGGCGCAGTCGACGGCCGGTGCACACGTAATCTTGATGCCGGTGGATCGGGCCTCGTCTATCGCGACGCACGTCTCAAATGGCACGTCGGAACAGCGCTCGCCACCATCGAACTGATCCACGCAACTGTCCATCGAGCTGTCGGAGCACGCGTGGACGAGCGTCTCACTGGTGGCGTGCATCCCCCAGTGCGTAAAGTCGACGTCAAAATACTGACCCGTCAGCACCGAGTCCGGAGTCGCCACGCACGTCCGGTCGGACATCGCCGACGTCACGGCAGGCGAGCCGCTGCAGTCGGTGTTCGTGAAGATCTGAAAATCGAGCGTGTCGCACTCGAGAGCCGAAGGCGACGACGGCGGCTGGTCGAAGTCGAAGCAGCACGTGTACTGCCCGTCATTGACAGGGACGACCAAGTAGCCGTCGCGGCACGTCTGCGCCTCGCCGTCTGGCGTGCCGTCCGCGTAGCAGTCGTCGCCGTCGCGGCTCGAGCACTTGGACGCGTCGCAGCGGCAGTGAGGCGGGTAGCACGTGTAGCGACCTTCGTTCCGAGGGTCGTCGGGGTGAGGGCTGGCGGTGTAGCCGTCGCTGCAGGTCTGCGCCTCGTAGTCCGGGTTCACGTAGCAGTCGTTGCCGCTGCTCGAGCACTTGCTGTCGTCGTGGACGCAGGGAGACGGAGGGGGCGGAGCAGGTGCCTGGCCCGGCTGGAACGGCGGATGCGGCGGTGGCGGCGGCGCGAGCGGAAACAGGCGCAGCGAGCGCACTCTGTCGCAGCCCGGCGTTGGCCGAGGCTCGCACTCGTACCCGCACACGAGCACGCTGGAGTCGTACGTGAATGTCTCTCCTCCGCCGCCGGCCTCGGTCGCCACCTCCACACCGCAGCCTGGAGAGACACGGATGAAGTCGAGCCCAGTGCAAGTATCAATCCACGTCGATGCGTCCGTCGAGACCCACTCGCTGCCGCAGTAGCCGCCGTCGTCCCCGCAGCAGTCGCCGCCTGAGCTCGAGCCCCACGGCGAGCATTCAGAAGCCGGGTCGCAGTTGCACCCGACATACTCGTAGCCGCGAGCAGCACACTCAGGAGGGGGCGGAGCGGGGGCCTGGCCTGGCGGGAACGGCGGCAGCGGCGGCGGCGGCGGCAGCGACGGCGGCTGGTCAAAGTCGAAGCAGCAGGTGTACTGCGAGTCGCGGATCGCGACCGGCAAGTAGCCGTCGCGGCACGTCTGCGCCTCGTACCTCAGGTCCGCGTAGCAGTCGTCGCCGTCGCGGCTCGAGCACTTGGACGCGTCGCAGCGGCAGTGAGGCGGGTAGCACGTGTAGCGACCTTCGTTCCGAGGCTCGTCCGGGTGAGGGCTGGCGGTGTAGCCGTCGCTGCAGGTCTGCGCCTCCATGTTCGGGTCCGCCCAGCAGTCGTCGCCGCCGCTCGAGCACTTGCTGTCGTCGTGGACGCAGGGAGACGGCGGGGGCGATGGTGGCGGAGCGGGGGCCTGGCCAGGCGGGAACGGCGGGAGCGGCGGCAGCGACGGCGGCTGATCAAAGTCGAAGCAGCAGGTGTACTGCCAGTCGCGGATCGCAATCGGCAAGTAGCCGTCGCGGCACGTCTGCGCCTCACCGTCTGGCGTGCCGTCCGCGTAGCAGTCGTTGCCGTAGCTCGAGCACTTGGACGCGTCGCAGCGGCAGTGAGGCGGGTAGCACGTGTAGCGACCTTCGTTCCGAGGCTCGTCCGGGTGAGGGCTGGCGGTGTAGCCGTCGCTGCAGGTCTGCGCCTCCATGTTCGGGTCCGCCCAGCAGTCATCGCCGCCGCTCAAGCACTTGCTGTCGTCGTGGACGCAGGGAGACGGCGGGTGCAGTGGTGGCGGAGCGGGGGCCTGGCCTGGCTGGAACGGCGGGAGCGGCGGCAGCGACGGCGGTTGGTCGAAGTCGAAGCAGCAGGTGTACTGCGAGCCGCGGATCGCGATCGGCAAGTAGCCGTCGCGGCACGTCTGCGCCTCACCGTCTGGCGTGCCGTCCGCGTAGCAGTCGTTGCCGTAGCTCGAGCACTTGGACGCGTCGCAGCGGCAGTGAGGCGGGTAGCACGTGTAGCGACCTTCGTTCCGAGGGTCGTCCGGGTGAGGGCTGGCGGTGTAGCCGTCGCTGCAGGTCTGCGCCTCCATGTTCGGGTCCGCCCAGCACGTCGGCTCGACGCACTTGCTGTCGTCGTGGACGCAGGGAGACGGCGGGTGCAGTGGTGGCGGAGCGGGCGCCTGGCCTGGCTGGAACGGCGGGAGCGGCGGCAGCGACGGCGGTTGGTCGAAGTCGAAGCAGCAGGTGTACTGCGAGCCGCGGATCGCGATCGGCAAGTAGCCGTCGCGGCACGTCTGCGCCTCACCGGGTGGACTCGCGTAGCAGTCGTCGCCGTCGCGGCTCGAGCACTTGGACGCGTCGCAGCGGCAGTGAGGCGGGTAGCACGTGTAGCGACCTTCGTTCCGAGGGTCGTCCGGGTGAGGGCTGGCGGTGTAGCCGTCGCTGCACGTCTGCGCCTCCATGTTCGGGTCCGCCCAGCAGTCGTCGCCGCCGCTCGAGCACTTGCTGTCGTCGTGGACGCAGGGAGACGGCGGGGGCGATGGTGGCGGAGCGGGGGCCTGGCCTGGCGGGAACGGCGGGAGCGGCGGCAGCGACGGCGGCTGGTCAAAGTCGAAGCAGCAGGTGTACAGCGAGTCGCGGATCGCGATCGGCAAGTAGCCGTCGCGGCACGTCTGCGCCTCACCGGGTGGACTCGCGTAGCAGTCGTCGCCGTCGCGGCTCGAGCACTTGGACGCGTCGCAGAGGCAGTGAGGCGGGTAGCACGTGTAGCGACCTTCGTTCCGAGGCTCGTCCGGGTGAGGGCTGGCGGTGTAGCCGTCGCTGCAGGTCTGCGCCTCCATGTTCGGGTCCGCCCAGCAGTCGTTGCCGCCGCTCAAGCACTTGCTGTCGTCGTGGACGCAGGGCGGGGGCGATGGTGGCGGAGCGGGGGCCTGGCCAGGCGGGAACGGCGGCAGCGGCGGCAGCGACGGCGGCTGATCAAAGTCGAAGCAGCAGGTGTACTGGTGCCCGGCATTGGTCGCGATCGGCAAGTAGCCGTCGCGGCACGTCTGCGCCTCACCGGGTGGACTCGCGTAGCAGTCGTCGCCGTCGCGGCTCGAGCACTTGGACGCGTCGCAGCGGCAGTGAGGCGGGTAGCACGTGTAGCGACCTTCGTTCCGAGGCTCGTCCGGGTGAGGGCTGGCGGTGTAGCCGTCGCTGCAGGTCTGCGCCTCCATGTTCGGGTCCGCCCAGCACGTCGGCTCGACGCACTTGCTGTCGTCGTGGACGCAGGGAGACGGAGGGGGCGGAGCAGGTGCCTGGCCCGGCTGGAACGGCGGGTGCGGCGGTGGCGGCGGCGCGAGCGGAAACAGTCGCAGCGAGCGCACTCTGTCGCAGCCCGGCGTTGGCCGAGGCTCGCACTCGTACCCGCACACGAGCACGCTGGAGTCGTACGTGAATGTCTCTCCTCCGCCGCCGGTCTCGGTCGCCACCTCCACACCGCAGCCTGGAGAGACACGGATGAAGTCGAGCCCAGTGCAAGTATCAATCCACGTCGATGCGTCCGTCGAGACCCACTCGCTGCCGCAGTAGCCGCCGTCGTCCCCGCAGCAGTCGCCGCCCGAGCTCGAGCCCCACGGCGAGCATTCAGAAGCCGGGTCGCAGTTGCACCCGACATACTCGTAGCCGCGAGCAGCACACTCAGGGGGCGGAGCGGGCGCCTGGCCTGGCTGGAACGGCGGGAGCGGCGGCGGCGGCGGCAGCGACGGCGGCTGATCAAAGTCGAAGCAGCAGGTGTACTGCGAGTCGCGGATCGCGATCGGCAAGTAGCCGTCGCGGCACGTCTGCGCCTCACCGGGTGGACTCGCGTAGCAGTCGTCGCCGTCGCGGCTAGAGCACTTGGACGCGTCGCAGCGGCAGTGAGGCGGGTAGCACGTGTAGCGACCTTCGTTCCGAGGGTCGTCGGGGTGAGGGCTGGTTGTGTAGCCGTCGCTGCAGGTCTGCGCCTCGTAGTTCGGGTCCGCCCAGCAGCCGCCGCCGCTCGAGCACTTGCTGTCGTCGTGGACGCAGGGAGACGGCGGGGGCGATGGTGGCGGAGCGGGCGCCTGGCCTGGCAGGAACGGCGGGAGCGGCGGCAGCGACGGCGGCTGGTCGAAGTCGAAGCAGCAGGTGTACTGCGAGTCGCGGATCGCAATCGGCAAGTAGCCGTCGCGGCACGTCTGCGCCTCACCGTATGGCGTGCCGTCCGCGTGGCAGTCGTCGCCGTCGCGGCTCGAGCACTTGGACGCGTCGCAGCGGCAGTGAGGCGGGTAGCACGTGTAGCGACCTTCGTTCCGAGGGTCGTCCGGGTGAGGGCTGGCGGTGTAGCCGTCGCTGCAGGTCTGCGCCTCCATGTTCGGGTCCGCCCAGCACGTCGGCTCGACGCACTTGCTGTCGTCGTGGACGCAGCGAGACGGCGGGGGCAGTGGTGGCGGAGCGGGCGCCTGGCCTGGCAGGAACGGCGGGAGCGGCGGCAGCGACGGCGGCTGGTCGAAGTCGAAGCAGCAGGTGTACTGCGAGTCGCGGATCGCGATCGGCAAGTAGCCGTCCCGGCACGTCTGTGCCTCACCGTCTGGCCTGCCGTCCGCGTAGCAGTCGCCGCCGCCGGCGCTCGAGCACTTGGACGCGTCGCAGCGGCAGTGAGGCGGGTAGCACGTGTAGCGACCTTCGTTCCGAGGGTCGTCCGGGTGAGGGCTGGCGGTGTAGCCGTCGCTGCACGTCTGCGCCTCCATGTTCGGGTCCGCCCAGCAGTCGTCGCCGCCGCTCGAGCACTTGCTGTCGTCGTGGACGCAGGGAGACGGCGGGGGCGATGGTGGCGGAGAGGGGGCCAGGCCTGGCGGGAACGGCGGCAGCGGCGGCAGCGACGGCGGCTGGTCAAAGTCGAAGCAGCAGGTGTACAGCCCCCAGTCATTGGTCGCGATCGGCAAGTAGCCGTCGCGGCACGTCTGTTCCTCATCGTCTGGCGTGCCAGCAGTCGTCCAGCAGTCGTCAAAGCCGCTCGAGCACTTGGACGCGTCGCAGCGGCAGTGAGGCGGGTAGCAGGTGTAGCGGCCGTCGCTCCGAGGCTCGTCGGGGTGAGGGCTGGCGGTGTAGCCGTCGCTGCAGGTCTGCGCCTCCATGTTCGGGTCCGCCCAGCAGTCGTCGCCGTCGCTCGAGCACTTGCTGTCGTCGTGGACGCAGGGAGACGGTGGCGACGCCGGCGGCGGAGCGGGGGCCAGGGCTGGCGGGTAGGGCGGGACTGGCGGCAGCGACGGTGGCCGGTCAAAGTCGAAGCAGCAAGTGTACTGCCAGTCATTGATCGCGATCGGCAAGTAGCCGTCACGGCACGTCTGCGCCTCGTGACCTGGGAAAGCCAAACAGTCGTCGCCGTCGCGGCTCGAGCACTTGGACGCGTCACAGCGGCAGTGAGGCGGGTAGCACGTGTAGCGGCCGTCGCTCCGAGGGTCGTCGGGGTGAGGGCTGGCGGTGTAGCCGTCGCTGCAGGTCTGCGCCTCAGACTCGCTGTAGGTGTAGCAGTCGTTGCCGCTGCTCGAGCACTTGCTGTCGTCGTGGACGCAGGGAGTCGGAGGGGGCGATGGTGGCGGAGCGGGGGCCTGGGCTGGCGGGTAGGGCGGGACTGGCGGCAGCGACGGCGGCGGCGGCGAGGGCGGCTGGACGGCTATACTATCGAGGAGGCTGCCGCTCGCCTCTACGAGAGAAGAGACGATCCCCCAGGGGCTCTCGTCATCGGAGGATTGGAGGAAAAATCGTCCTGAACGGCCGCTGGCCTCCCTCAGGAGAGTCGCGTTGGTCGTAGTCACGCCGTCATTGCCGTCAGTCGCACCACTGCGGGCCGTGCGCGACTCCACAAGATCGGTCGTAATGACGGCAACCACGTACTCGTAGTTCGCTTCGCGCGACAAAATGCCCAAGGAGGGGAGCA